TTTTTTTTTTTTTTTGGCTACTTAGCCTTAGATGCATAAAACTTGGGTGTAGTTAAGGGTGGGATTAATCTCAGAGTGATGACAGTCACTATGATTTGACTGTGATAGCTGGTTAATTTACAATGCTAAGTGATACCTAGGGCCACAAACCTTTGGCCAAAAGATTCTCAGACTGAGAACCCACAGTTGTTGATTGCACATCATGAAATCAGTCATGGATTCTTACTGTATTGAATTGACCATGCTCTGGGCTCAAGGCCAGTCTGAATGGCCGAGCTTTTGTGTTCCACACACTACAAACGTAGTATTTAAAATGTATTATCCCCACAACTAGATGATTAGCTCCTTGAAAACTGGGANTCCCGTCTTTGCCATCTGTTGGTTAGAGACGTGATTTTAGTCAAATCACTTCACTCCCCTGGTCCATTGGCTCTGCACTGAGGTGAGATTTGGTTGATGGTCAGTAAGCTCAAGGTCAGCCTGCTTCTCTTCCAAGAGATGCCCTGAGGGATATATTGGAACTTTAATAAAAACACAGTATACAAGTGAGGGCACAGTTTGTGTTATTGGAAATATAAGAATCTGGAAGACTGACATTCTTAGGCTTTAAGAAAGATTTAACCAGTTGAATGATTACGTCCTACCTTATTTAAGAGCTCTAACNACATGCACTGGTTACAGGAGAGCTTCCAGTGGCTTGCTCCTCAGTGTTCCTAGATTGGACTCAGTCCACTGTGTGGCCTGTCGCAGGTCCTTTTTTACCGACTCCTATAGGCTGAAAAGACACTTTGAGAGTAAGTGGTAAATGTGATGCTGATGCCGTGTACTTGACAGGACAGTGGGTATAGTGTACTTCACTGGGTGCGGAAGGGAGCTGATTTCCAGTCCCGTCTTTGCCATCTGTTGGTTAGAGACGTGATTTTAGTCAAATCACTTCGCTCCCCTGGTCCATTGGCTCTGCACTGAGGTGAGATTTGGTTGATGGTCAGTAAGCTCAAGGTCAGCCTGCTTCTCTTCC